CGTTCTTTCTACCATGCTGCTCTGTTTACAACTGGCTCGCAGCGACCGACAACATAACGCTCTTGCGCATGCGCAGCTGTCTAGGCAAGTTCTCGTTATGAAGGACGGGTACCGAAACAAGGCACCGTTTCAAATGACATGAATCGGTGCTCAGTCGGTACCGTGGAATTCGGTCGGTACCTTAAAAAGTACCGAATTCGGTACCCATCTCTACCTCCAGATTTACCTATGCCATTCCACTTTTATTATTTCTGCATGTACCTTACGGGTCGATTCTTTTACCATCTGTTATAGCAAACCCATCTTTCAGGAATGCTCTTCTGCCGTTGTTTCGAGCATCCAGCACCTTGGGCCACAGCTTGATCCGAGCTTCCCTATCCTCTTTGTCCTCTTTAAAGTTTGTGTGCAGTTCTTTGCAGACCCTGGCCTCCATGGACTTCCTCCACACTTCATCCCTCACTGTCCTCATGCTAAACTGAATGAGGATCGGTCTTGGCAGCTTGTTGTTCGCAGCGTCGCCCTTCTTCCCGATTTGATGTACTGTATCCACCATGGGCTGCAGCTTTTCCACTGACACAGGAATCACTCTCGCCAGGATGCCAATCATTCTCTCCCATGTATTTTCATCCTCTTTTTATGCCAGGCCAAGTAGTCTGAGGTCCCTTCTTCTTCTGTGTCTTGAGTTTTCCAGACATCTTTCCTTCAGTTCTTTGTTTTCCTTCGTTAAAGCCTCCATTTTTGTTTTGAGCTTGTCTGTTTCCTTTTTGTTTTCTTCAGTTGCCTTTGTATTTGCTTCTATCTTAAGGTCAAAAGCTTTCAGATTTTTGTCAGCAGATCAAATCTTTCTTCAAATCTTTCTGTAAAGGCCAGCAGGGCTTCATAGATATTTTGATTGCTCACCTGTTTCCCGGTAGCTTTATTTTTCAGTTTTTGTGGATTGGGGCCTTTTATTGGAGTGTGATCACCAGTGGGTCTTGCTTCTATCTGTTGATGCTCCATCTACTCTATGTCTTCGTCTGCACATGCTTCTTTCATTGCCGCGAGGTTGTAGCCATGGTCGGAAAGGCTACCTATTAGCTCCGCCATGTTAGTCATTTGATGTTTTGCGTTTGCTACTTCATCTGTCCAATAACTCTTCAAAAACTATGTTCCAGGAGTTACGCTTACCTTTCAGTTTCATTCTGAATAACTGTTTATCAGAGAATTACTTCTCAGGACATTTAAAACCCGCCATTTTATCAGACCTGCCAAGTTTCCAACTGCTCACTCCGCCACCTTGAATTCCCCTCTGGAAGTATGGAGTTGGAACAGATTGTAAACAAAGACTGCATCCCTCTTTGGTTTTTTTTAAAAGAAGAAAATCAGACAACCTCCCAGCTGTCTGAGACATTAGGACTGTTTTGTGATTATTTCACTGGACAATTCTTACTTATTGGACTTTTAAGTGTCCCAAAAAAAGCATTCCCCCCAAAAATTCATACCACAATTTGCAGCATTTTCTGGTGAAATTTTTATTTCACACATTTACCTTGAAAACTGCTATTAAGTAAGTATTTGACAGTGTTTATCCAAAAAGAAGTAAAAATGTGGACATTAGTAAATATGAGTCATTGCATGTTTAAACTTGATCAAGAAGTGAAAAGCTGGGAGGAATTACTTCATTAGCTGTAATGTTTTTCCTGACCTGACAGGAAATTTTGACATCCTTTATGCTAAAAGGAGAAAAACGGCAGATTATTCATCCAAATTTGTGATTTTAAGAAGAATTAGTCTGGGATTATTCTCTCATTTATAGTAACCAAAAGGAAGACACAATAAGTGTAATTTTTCTTGACTTCCAGTTTTCCTTGTGGATCCGTCAGTCAAAAACCGGATGATGCCGGCTCACGTGGAGCTGCTCTCTGATCAGCAGCCAGCAGAATGCCTCACTTCTATGCTTCCTCTGCCTCGTACCTTTGCAACAATGAGTCACCAAAAACAAGCGCTTCAGAAATCACGCTGCAATGATTTCACAGGACAGATGCCTCGTTGTTTCAGTGCTTCCGATGAATTCTGTCTCCCACACACTAAAACACACACACATATCCAAAAGTAACCATTATCAGCCAACCGAGTGCCTGCATTTGGTCTGACAGCAGAGGAAAGGCACTGTGTAGTGCAAGCATCAAATGACTAAAAATACACACGATTATTTCTATGTGCACAAATGACACAAATGCTACTCTGCAAGCAGCCAAGCTGAAAAAAAATTATTATTTTCTGAAAAAGAAGGTCACCCTGTAGCTGCTTGATGGAGATTTAAGACTTTCCTTCTGAATTTAAGTCAGAGACCAGACCTGCCTCTGGCAAAAGTAGCTAAGAGAGGAAACTGCATGTTCTTCCAGCTGGGCTGAACCATGACTCTGAAAAAATACACAACTCAGCTACTTTCACTTGATGTCGCAGGAAAAGGGTGAACTATTTGGATTTGATGTTACATTACGTGGCAACAGCTTTGGTTTTCTTTCTTTCTAAACCGTCCTAACAACATTTTCTGATTTTCTTTTCTCTTTTCACACAAATGGAGTAGAGCTATTTCCAAAGGAATCCAAAACGCCAGTAGCTGGAGTAAAGCTGAGTGAGGAGGTTGGAGAGCTGTCAAAATAAATCTGAGGCTGTAAAACAGAATGGTGCAGGCTGCAGACACAGGAGTGACATGCACACATAAAAAGGGCTGTTGCACAAATAGGCTAGAATGCAGAATATTTAAGGTGGTGTGCAACCTTAGAAACCAGCTCAGTAGGCGGAAAAAATGTAAAAAAAATAAATAAAAAAAAAATCATTCAGACTGAAAGGATGCATCATGGAGGGGTGTGTATTTGTGTGTTGGGTGGGTGGGGGTGGTCTCTTAACCTGCCTGGCAACCACCAGAATAAACACCCCCCTCCTCCTCCTGCTGCCATAAGCGCCCTCACTTATCCCATTCCCCCCCGCAAAAACTCACATATGACGCCGCAAAGCGTCATATTTAGCTCTTTCTTTAGTTCACCAGGAGCGCTCATGTGGAAAATACATGATGCTGTCGTTTCCTTGCCAACATAATTCAGGCCTGAGTCCGGGTTCCAAAGACTGGGCGGGTCCGGTGATGACAATCAAAAGAAAAGAGCATTAAAAAAACTGGCCCTTAAACATGAAGGGGCAGAAAGGACAGGCCAAAAGCAGCCCGAGGCCGGGTGTGTGAGTGTGTGTGTGCGCGCGCGCTGGATTTTAAACCCCCCAACGATGGGGATAAATAGAGCCATAATTTGAGATTATTTGCATTTTACTGAATGTGTGAGAAGATGCAGTGTGGAGGCAGAGCGCGTGTCGGTGCGCATCTGTCATGACTCGTCAAACAGAGCGCGTGGCGCTGGCCGCAGCTTACCTCATTTTCCTTTCTCCTCCTTTATCCAGCCGGGGAGGAAGTTCACCAGATCAGTGTGTCTGTTCGGTGTAAAACTGAAATAAAATCCCGCTGGGTGGTTCTGATCAGCCTCCTCTTAGCTCCGTCTCTAGATGAGATTATTGCAGCCGCTTTGTGCTCCGCTGTCTCTGCGGTCCAGACGCGCTGCAGCTGCGGCTCCGTGGGTCCATGTTCTGCTCGGTGTCGGACGGTAAACGCTGGTGCTCGGCCGCCGTCTCCTTCATGCCATATTTTCCTCCCGTTCGGTGTGTTTTGGTGAGACGGAGAGAGGTTCCGAGGGGAAATGCTATTTCAGTGCGAGGAGGAGGAGGGGGACCATGACCGGCTCAAGGCTGCCCACCTGCGGTCAAGACGCGCATCTACAGCTCGCTGATGACCCCCACCCTTAATGGTCTAAAACAGAATCGTCCAATCCTAGTGAAGAAGGTCCAATATCCGTGAGCTTTTAGATGGTTTACTAATTTAACACATCTGATATAAATTAACAGGTTATTTGCTGCACGCAGAAGAAGTAATTCAACCAGTAAAACACACTTTATTGTTTCTTTCTCATTGAAAGTGGAGTTGCAATGGTGTAGACAACCCTGCTGCAGCCTGCAGTAGCTTGTGCTAAAACCAAACTAACGCTAACGAACCATCTGGTACCAAATAAGCTACAGAGTGCTGTTCGATGCGAAGCTGCTGGTGTTTCTGGCTCAAGAACCACGGAAACCATTTTGAAAGCAACAGCTTAACTGCTAGAAAGTCTTTAGTGTTGCTTTAAAAGGGAAACATCTAAAACATGCAGGGTGGTTGATGGTAAATAACATTTCCTGGGTGGGCCAGTGCCAATCTGATAGCAAGCTTGGACCCCACCATTTTACACAGTCCCAGCCTGGCCTTGCTGAGCGGACTTTAGCGCAACAGTGCCCTCTAGTGGCTGGTAGATGTAAACATAAACCCAGTGTTGTGCCGACAAAATGAAAATGTGATTATTTATTTTTTTAAATATAGCTTTTAAAGGAGAAACTGTACATTCATTCTGCACACCTCTAAATGCCTCATGGATGTTTCTTTTTAAATATAGCGTTGTATCAAAATGTTCCATATTCTAATACTTATATTCATATTCTAATAATAATAATAAAATACTTAAAGTTTTTTTTTCTTACAAATGAGCTTGTCTAACGAAACAGCTGCCCCCCTTAAATGCTAGTCTAGAACTTCCCCTGGTATCACGGCCTTTTCAACATAAGATTCAGGGAAAATTTTGGAAATAACTGTTGTATTTATTTAAAGATGATGCATTGAACTGTGTAAAATGATCATTCAAATGGATGATTATTACATTAAAAAAATTGCTTTTAAAATTTTATAATTATTTTGCTTAATATTTTTTTGATTGCCATTTTGTAAAATGATAAATCTGCAGGTTTTTTTTTTCATGATATTGAGCTTTAGAAATTGTATTTTTTAGGTGTTTGTTGTTTTGATTCCCAGGGCACGATAATCCCCCTCCAAAATAAAAGCTCAAACACAAAAAAGCAGCAATCAATGTGGAAATAAAACAACACCAGGAAACAGTAATTCAGGTTTCATTTACTGCAACTCAGATGACAAATATTTACTGGTTTTGAATCCGCAGCCTCAAGCGTTAAGACAGGTTATGTTGCATCCATGCTGGAGACTGTTGAAACTCTGCTGTTTTGTGGTTTTACTGATAAAAACCACCTTTAGGAGGTGATGTCCACCTTAAACACACTCAGGTCTGATCAAGTATCACCTTAGACACACCCCATCACATCTATGGGAGGAAACCTGACTACAAGAAGAGTGTGAACTGTTTCTACTGAATTATAAGAAGATCCGACTAGAGCTAAACAGTATTGGATGTTCACCAAGTGAAAGCAGTGCATTAATAAAAACCAACAGGGTTCAGTTCTGTTACATATTCTCATGTCAGACAGTTACAGTGCAATGGTCTCGTACTTCCTCTTCACAAACTGGTCTCAGAAACATGAAAGAGACCTTAAAAAGCTCAGTTTTCACTTATTTTTGACACATTTGAGACAAAAAAGTTAAATTAAACAAAGATTTCATTCTAAAAAACCAACACAGTTTCTAGATATTCACTCACATCTTCCTCAGATTTGTTTCATGCTTCTGGAAACATTTGCTCATCTGAAACTAAATGGACATTTTGCAGAAGAAAAATCAAAGGAAGAAATAACTGGCAGTGACGAATTTGATTTATAGATAATAAATAAGAACTGGAAGCACAAAAAGTCTGAATGTTTAGAGGATTTTGGTGCAAATAATGTAATTTATTAAAAAGGCCTCAAGGTAAATATTCCACATGATTATGGAGTCTAGCTGTGGGGACACGATTAGTGTTAAAGGTGTGGTTGACTGAAAACCCATTTTTAATGACTATTTCTGATCATAATCGGTCACTCTGAGTTTTTCATGCAAGCTCAATATGAAAACAGTCTCTTACACCCATCCCCTGCATTAGCTTCTGATAGAAAATAGATGATGAATTGCTAGGATTGGAAAATCCTCACACAGGAGAGAGAGCGGAGAGTGTCTGGGTGATGGTGACTTTGCAACATGGCTAACAGAACACGTTCGAACACGTTCGTGTTCTGTTAGCCAATCAGAAGCGTTCACATCATTAATAATGAGCCATCCTGTCCCACCTCAGCACCAGCAAACTTCTGCATCTCAGAACAGGAGCATCACAGCTTTTTTATTTTAAATTACTTATAAGGGATTGGTTTATACTAGAGAACACTGCAAATGTGTTGAATGAATGGGTAAACCACACCTTTAATACTCTTTTGTGCGTTCGTCCCGTGTTTTTGGCCGTACTCCATATTTTTGTTCTTTTCTTACACAGTTTAGTGAAAGTTATTTACCTTACATGTTTCTTCTAGTAGCTCTAGCCATCATCAGAGATTGTTGATGATGGTGGCATCAAACATGTAAGGTAAACAAATAACTTTTACTAAACTGTGTAAGAAAAGAACAAAAAAAAAAACCGGATTACACACCTTTATTAATTTAACTATTTATGGACAATACAGGCAGTTTTAGTTAAGATCACCTAAACAAATAAGTGATAATAGATTATTAAACGTGTCTAATTCTAGCTGTGATCGATGCTTCTGAATATTTGGGTGTTTTTTTCTGACATGTTTTATAAGAGGGAGGGGATTTTGCTTGACCGCTGCTTTCCTGAGTTGTTCATTATAAAATTAAAAGGAAGTTTAAAGGTTAGAAAATGTGCCGTGCTTCAGTTTTTGTTGCAGCGTTCTTGGTTCTCCGTCAGTCTGGATCCAGGATCTGAGGGTTAGGGCTTGCCTTTGGTTCTGTTGAGTTGGACTCCTTCTGTGTCGCTGATGACGAGGATAAAACATGAGAGGAAGAGGATTTTTCTATACATGTAGTGTGAACAAGTAAGATGAACAAAAGGAGGATCGTTGTGTTTCGAGCTGCTGCTTCTTACACTTCCTGCTTTTCATCTAGTTTGTGAGCAGAACCTCAGACCGCTTCAGTTGTTCCGATCCGTTTCTGTTAGAGTTCACATCAGTTTGGTTTTTTTTAGTGCAGTTCAGAACAGTTTTGCTTCTGCTGGGCTTCAGTGTCAGCGTCCGCTCCCTCAGACTACCCTCCACTGCATGACGCTCATGTCCTTCCCACCGGTCGACACCAGGAAGCTGTCATCAAACAGGAAGCTCACGTTGGTCACATGACTGCTGTGGCCACTGTAAACATGGCTGGGAGCCTGGAGCGGAAACGTAAATCAGATCTTTAAATAAATAACCTGCAATTTAAACTTTTTTCTTCTTCTTGCATGAGTGGCCTCTTACCCTGAACTGTGCGCAGGGATAGGAGAAGAGATGGACCTTCCCAAAGTCGTCTCCAGTAGCCAGGAGGTTCCTGTCACTGGACCGGCACGCTGCGTTGACGTCGGTTCCGTCTGAGCCGTCGGGCCACAGGCCTGAGAAGAAACAGAATCATCAGAAGTTTGCACAGGATCACAAAAGAGGGACAGGAACTGAAGCGTCACTCACCAAAGACATGGAAGCCCAGAGTGCAGGTGTAGGTGGCCCAGTCGATGTCTCTGGTGGTCTCCACGCTCACTACCTGCTTACACACTGATGGGATCCCTGGAGGTGAGAAGAAGAAGACGTTTTTATTTAGGGCCTTTCAAACACAATAGAAATAATTACAAAATAAAAACAATGATGAAAATAAACATTTAAAAATATAATAGATTAAGATTTAAAATAAAAAATACAAACAAGAACTGAGCTGTTAGAGACAGAAGCTGTCAACCAGACTTTAATGCAACTTTAAATCCTAACTTGATAATCTAACAGATTTAATCAGGAGAAAATATGAAATTTATGCTGATTTTTATTGTTTTTGTAATATGTTTTTATTTTATAGATATTTATTTTCAGTCAATATTATAATATTTATAATGTTGGGTTTTCAGCTTTCAGTTTCACAAGAAAAATCACCACCAACCCTGGTTCCTGCTGCTACTTATTAACGATTTAATCTGTGATCAGCACAGTGAACGGACCCAGATTAGCGGTTGTACTTACAGTACAGTATCTCATAGTCCCCTGAGTTGGACACCAGGTACTGAGAGTCCACAGACCAGTCCACATGGGTAATAAAACTGGAGTGCCCCTGATTATAAAAACAACAGGTTTAGAGGATTTATTCACATCCCTTTTTAAAACGGTATGATAATAAAAATAAAAGCTGGGGCTCACAGAACACTTTCCAACTCGACTGTACTTCCTCCCATTTTCTGCCACAGCGTAGACATAGATGTAGTTGTCATGGGAACCAATAGCCAGGAAGCTACCATCTAAAGAAGATGAGGAGCAACAGGACAGCATGGCTTAGTCGTTGCCACTCCTGATTTAGATAAGAGGTGTCAGAAGACACGCTTTAGATGACGGCAAACAGAAGAAGTGCAACATGCCTGGCCCGTAGCTCATAACGGACAGCTGTTCGTTCCCATCTGTGTGGACGGTAACTAAATCCTTAGAGTCCGTGTCCAGGACCAGCCACCTGCACAGTTGGGGACAGACTTTTATCTGCTCCATGCGAACACAAATACTAACAGTCCAGATTAAGCAGCTGAATGGTTCTTGTACCGGCCAGTTTGGGTTCCCACGGCAACCACAGCTCCTGATGGGTGGAAACCAGCTGACTGGGCCGTATCCTGTAAAACAGATTTGCATATTCCTTTGGCAAATTGCACCCTAACCCATCCAGAGTCCGGTCCATCAGCTGTAATTCCCCATAAGAGACCCCAGAGGGCGGTGTTGGCTCAACTTACTTCCAGACTTTTAGTCCAGATGAGCTGATGGGTGTTCGAGTCCCACAGACAGACCTGCCGGTCGTATCCACAGGTCAGAAACTGAGACTTCAAGGGATGCACAGCCAGACCCCACAGCTCATCGACGTGACCCTGGAGAGGAGAATTTTAAAAAACAAGAAAACAGGGAAAACAAAGCTGTGCCCTTTAGGCTGTTGCATCCACCTGTGTAATCGGCATGAACTCTCCATCCAAACTGCCTTGTAAAACAAAGTTCTTGGTGGTCCCGATGAGCACCGTCTCCCCTCGGCCTTCTGCGATGGTTCTGATTGGACCAAACAGCTCAGGCACCTGCAGATGCAAACATCAGACATCCGGCTGTTCACCTGGGAGACTTTGACGGCATCATCTGGCTTCCACGAAGCAAGTTATTAAGAAAACATAAGCATTGTTGCCATAAAAATCCATGGAGCTCATTAAAATAAACCAAATTTATCTCAGCCTCAGTGAGATTTATTCAATAATGCATCACTGGTTTGCTGTCTGCAGCTCATTAAACATAACATAACATTTTCTTTCTTTCTAATCTGATTTATTTCTTAATAGAAACATTGTCATTACCCCCCGATGATGTTTCTTTAGTCCAGATAAGGAAAGTCAAGCTGTGTCTTTGATGGGACACAAAGATAATGAGGGCGAATGCTTGTTTCTTTAACAAACCTGTTCTGGTCTCTGAATTAATGTCCTGTGAGTCTGTTTCAGGAGGTAGAAGTTAGTCGGAGGAGTTTTGGGCAGGATTAGGATTCTTACTCATTGGTTTTCATGATGTGCACACATCTTGCTTCTGATTGGCTAAGAGCAATGCAACTCTTCCACAGCCTCCATTTGCTCTGCAACAATTAAAGTTTTATCTCCACAAATAACACAAACCAGAAGGAGTTCTGCCATGTTGCTAATGCTAACAGTTAGCTTCTACTAGCCGAGGCATGCTCTACTCTCTCCTGGGTGCAAAATCAACACAGTCTTCCACGGCCATGAGCCAAGATGTGTGAGTTCATGAATGCTAACTGACTGTGTGGCATTTTCTAATCACAGCGTTTTTCTGTCTATTTTCTTTCGGCGGCTAATGCAGGAAACGGGAGTGGAAGACCATTTTTACATTCAGCCTGTAATCGCATTTCAAAACAAACAAGTCTTAAACATTTGTCAGTGAACCTCCTTTTTAAAAATCTATTTATTGTTAGAAGTTTGACTAGATTTGAATGTTGAGAATGAACTCCACACCGTGACATTTTCAACACCACAGTATCAAAAAAATATTTCTGCCATTTTTTTCAGGGTTTCATCATTAAACATAGCTTAGAATAGATCATTAGCATGCCGTGCAGTTCCAACAGCATGATTAGTGCATCTTATCCTACAAATCATGTTTAATTTATATACTACAGAGGTTTTACCTCTAATGTTTGCATCTGCTGGTAGCTGCTGTCCCAGGAAACAAGCCTGCGATCCTTCCCTCCAGACACCAGCGTCCCATTCCTCAGCATACACACGGCAAAGATGCTGCCCTCGTGGGCTCCCTGGATGACGTGGCTGATGCGATTAGTGCCTGCTCGGCAGAGATGGATGAGACGGCTCCATCAGATGAGCGCAAAGGTTGACTGCTTAATGAAGGTCGATTAACCAAGAGGAAGGTGGTCAAACAGAAGGGTGATCGATAGATAAAATAGAGACAGAGATTATGCATCCCTGCTCACAAGATCCGGATCTGGTTTATCTTTAGATTGACCCAGGTTTGACCTCTGATGTCCTGACTGCTCCTCCACAATGAGACAAACTTGTGATCAGATTTAAACACGGTTATTTTTTGTTGTTGTTGTTGTCTTTAATCAACTTCCTCTAAAACTCACTGATACGATCACCACCACACATGATCGTCACCTTTTCCCCACACCAGGATGTTTCCGCTCGAGTCTCCGGTGACAGCATCTCCGTTTTCCGCGAAGGTCACACACAAAACAAACTTGGGCTTCTCTTGTTTCTGCAGCAAACGCAAGAAACGACAAGAGGAGTTAGATGTTAAACCTGCACAATGCCATCCTTTATGTCAAACCTCATTCTGCTGTTTTCTCACCTCAAATAGTCCTTGCTTCTTGACCAGTGAGCCTCCTTTCTCCAGAGTCCAGAAGTAGAGATGAGACTTGCCACAAGTCACCACCACATTGCTGTCAGTCGGGTGAAAGTCTGCAGCAAACACCGACTCGTTGGAGCACTGAGCAGATGCACAGAGAGAAAATTCAGTACAGTGGAAGAAACATTTGAGGAAATACAAATAAAGGAATAAAAAAAAAAGATGCACACACCTTCGCTTCAGCCAGCCTGTCCTGCCTCTGCCAGTCCCAGACAGAAAGGACGTGGTCGTTGGAGTCGTCTACGACACAAAGAGTGTTTCCTCCATTCTAAAATAAAAATGAAGAGGTAGAAGAAGCGTTTAGTCACACGCAGGAAACATCAAAGGCTGAAAACCAGCAGCAGGTGGAGTGGAAATGGTCTGTGCTCCCGTACCGACTTAGAGAACGCCAAGCAGACAAGGCCCCTGTCAAAGTAGCCGGCGCCCAGAACGTGGAGGGTGTTGAGGCTGACGGAGTCCCAGACGCGAACGTGAGGAGCCAGCTGGAACAAAAACACCCAGACACGCAACAGACAGTATTAAAACAGCAAATTCAACGCTGGGTGGTAAAGAAACAGATCTGACTTTACCTTTCCATCTGAGGAGGTGCCTGCTACCTGCCCGGTTGCTATGGTGATTTTATCAGGATGGACAGCCAGGCTGGTGAAGACATTAAAAAAAGGAAAAAATAAACATAACCTGAAGCATTTTTGACTTAAATAAAAAAGAGGAACATGAAAGATGGAGCTGCAGCTCCACATGACGTCTGCACGGATGCTTGAAGAACAAGCTAAAATTAATTGACCTCCTCTGCAGTGAAAGGAGCCTCCCAGGAAGAGAAAAGTTCAAACACTTTAGCTTTAACGCAAGAGGTGTCTGTCTCCTTTGATCTGTGATGCAAATAGTTTAACTCTATTACACTCTAAGGGTGAAAACAGGATTTCAGTTGCGCTGAAATTGCCTGAAAGTCTAATTCCTCTTGAGAACATTTCAGGGCCAGAAATTTCAGGATGTTGCAATGACGCAAAGAAAAAAAGTGAAGTTCCCTCACCATTTGATGTCGTCCGTGTGTCCGGTGTAATGTCTCTGCAGCTGCTCGTCCACATTAAATAAAACCACCACAGAGGCAATAAAATACACCGTTTCTCCAGTGGGCAGCAGGTAGAGGTTGGAGCGACAGTCTCGACCACGATAACCGTAGCTGAGCATCGAGGGTCAGGGAAGTTCAATAAATAACAGGTGGGAAGCTACCTTATTCAGTCAATTCCACATTTACTTAATTTACAAAGCTTTCTAATTTTTTTGCTGGAAATAAAAAGGTGAAAGGATACACCCAGTCCAGTTTGAGTTTGTTGTTGGGTAGCTCGCCTCTGGACTCCAGGCAGTAGGCGTCCACCTGCTCTTTGGGCATGAACATGGTGATGGGACGGCCCTTCAAGTACATTTTCACATAACCTTCCTCTGAAAAGTGCAGCAGAAGCATCATTAGATCAGAAACACACCATTCATACGTGAATTTAACCAGATTATCTCATGATTACAGTATTAGGAGAGTTAACCATGAATGTCTGGGATGATTAATGAAGCCACGTGAGAGGAAAACAAACTTAAAACCAAACAGAGGAGACTGATCGTGCAAACTCAACAATCTTCTTTCAATCTGGCTTTTATTAGTTCATTTCAGACACATTGCGTTACAAAAGAAACAGCAAACACTTCAGTTAAAAAAAACTCCCAAATCCCCTAAATGTTCAGCAGATTAACAGAAAAATGCAGACAAAAGCAGATGAAAATGCTCAGAGAAGGAACAAAAAGACAAGAAAAGATGTTAAATGCAAAGAATAATAAAATAAATGACATTTGAATTTTAAACACTCATTAGAAATGAATCATGTATTTAATAAACTTATTGGTGAGGTCAAAATCACAAATTTCTATCTGCAGTTTTAAAACTAAAGAATAAACACTGATGTTGCATTCTAATAACAAATCTGGAAATACTGGCTGGGGGACTTAGGGCTGCGGTAGCTGGGAGAATCAAGAGGAGGTGGCAGACTCCTCAGCTGGAGGCTACAGTTTGGGATCTTTCTGATTGACGACGCCCTGACAGTGCCGCTCTCTGAGACTCGTTTGGTGGCTGAAGGAGCCGTTAAAACCAAAGCCGAGGGGCCACTGGTCCTCGCCGTTTGTTTGGCCGAGCGGCTCAGGTAAATCTGCACTGTGACTACGATGCAGACAGGAGGAGATGATGATGGAGGTTGGAGGTGAGCAGGCAAAACGGGATGAAGCAGGAGCAGGATTGGGAGGAGCACAGAAGAATAAGAAAAAGTTAGATGAGAGTATGATGCTTGCTTTTTAGCGACGAAAATTTAAAGACCAAGTTCAGTCGTTATTTCACTACATTTGCAGTGTTCTCGGGTTTAAATAAATGCCCTTTGAGTCATCTTCTTGGGTGAAAAAGCTCTGGCGCTCCTGCTTCAGGAAGTAGAAGTGAGCCTGAGCAGAGGGAAGCAGAAAACTGAGGATTTGGAGTCTTCCTGATATTCTAACATCTCGTCTCTGATTGGCCAACAGCAACGCAACTCTGCCTCTGACTCTGTTCGCTCTGCAACGTTGATGTTTTATCTCCACAAATAACACAATCACTGAAGAGTTCTGCTGTGTGGTGAAGTTGCTAATGCTAGTGGTTTGCTTCTACTAGCCGAGACGTTCTCTGCTGTTGCCTGGATGCTAAAACAACAACAGCTTTCTCCGTCGCGAGTCAAGATTGTGATACCATGAATGTTAAAGAGCAAGTCAACCCCTACCAGATTCTAACTCCACTCCCACTTCATGTTTGAAAAATGCAACAAATGCTGTTGCCTGGCAGACCAAGAGGGCGGAGCTGCTAACAAATACACTCACACAGGCTCACGACAGCATTGTGACATCGTAATGTACCAGTTTACATCATAGCATGCCTCTTAGCCAATAGCGGTGGCAGATTTAAATTAGAATACAGTGCAGAGTTTTTACCTGACAATGGCACAACACTGCCAGTTTTAGGCAGAATATTTAAATTTTAGCTAAAATGCACTGAAGTGCCAAATTATTGACGACACGTGTCTGCAGCACGATTAGACACTCGTTTATTTAGTTTATCAGCAAAAAAAAGTTTATTTGGGGGTGACTTTCTCTTTAACTTACAGCGTGACGTAGATCCATGTGGCTTATCTAATCCAAACGTTTTACCATCTATTTTTCTATCGGCGGCTAAAGCAGGAAATAGGGGTAGAAGACCCACACCGTGTGAAACTCAGACTGATTATTTTTTTTAAATGACAAGTACAAGTCGATTCTCAGTGAACTTGGTTTTTAAAACCGCCAAACAAAAACTAGTCTAGGGTAAAACTGGGAGACTGAGCACTAACTGACACAAATCACCAGCATCGTCCTAGGTTTCTTCACAGATGGGGTAATCCCCCGAGTAAAACAGTAAACAACCATTTTTGACTTTCTGTGAACACTTTAAGTGCTCAGCACACAAACAAGTGACACAACAAGCATGTAGGAAGACTTAAAGCTCATAAACCCAACAGCAACAAGAGAGAATGTGTTTGTGATGCAGGGTGACGACAGGAGCTGTGGGGGTGGACTTGCAGAAAACCCCAAAAGCCAGGCAGCAAGAGTCAGACATCTTTGTCTGTTGCCATAGTGAGAAAACCAAACTTCCTGTTAGCGGACTGTGATACTAAGTCAAACAATGCGTGAAGAGCAAATTCATGTTAATTACACTCGGATGCAGCACTCGGTGGAGGTTAGGGGGGATATTTGGGGGGGGGGGGGGTTGACAACTTTCTAACATGTCAGCCCAGCGTCACCCCGTCTAGACAGTTCTCTGCTCTTTGTGTTAAATTTAGATTCAAAAGTTCTTTTACTAAAATGTTCTCCCCACTCTCCGACCAGGATCTGAGATTTTAGAAAAACAGAGCAAATGATTCAGAGCCCAGAGAGCTGTGGAGGCTTAGGGCATTGTGGGTAGAAGGGGCGTGGCCTACCTTTGCAGTGGGTCACACGTCGCATCCCTTAAGGTCACAGAGAGACACACAAGCAGCAGATGAAGCCTCTTGGTCTGTCCTAACGTGAGTGCACTTCCTGCTTCCTGGCATTGATTCTGTCCACGACGGTTTTAGCGACCCTGTCTCACCTTTGGTGCCTTACAGAGCCCCAAAACCGATTACAACCGTTCCGTGTTACTACTTTGTCTTACAATCGAATTAAAAATAAACTACAAGTGAAAACAAGAAACAAAAATGCAGAAATTAAAGTTTTTCACTGCGTTTCTATTTGCGTGGACATTTAAGAGTAAAGAATCAACCAAACCTGCCTAAAAGATAAAAAACCCAAATCTGATAAACTCATAGTTCTGCTGTGAAAGTATTTGTCCAATAATCTCAAATGAAAATAAAGCATAAAAAATGTAAACAATAAAGAAAGGGGTTTATTTAATATGAAGGGGGGGTTAAGTGACCATGAAGACAGGGATGGAGGAGGTGGATTTGTTATCATGAGGTGATATTATTGTAATAAGGCTTAAGATGTATAAGAATCACTGATTATGTTTTATTTGCTCATAAAATGTTGCAAAAGCAGAAAACTCAAAGTTTTCTGGCTGAAGAGCCACAGTCTCTTACCTGCGTTGAATACTGGATCTCTCTGTTTGCTGCAAATGTAAACAAACACATGAATTACCTCGTACGTTTCATTTGAAGCATTGTTTTAAAATGCTGTTTTCTGCTCTATCACACTGGAAGATTGAACATCTGAGGAGGAGGGAAAACAGACGAGGTACCTGTCGCTCCGTTTGCTGCTGGAGCTGCTGCCAGTGGAGCCGGCCCGAGCTCGGTTCCCCTTAGACTCGCCTGAGTCCTTTCGAGTGAGAGTCCCCACGTGTTCGTTAGAGCTGGTTCTCCTGACAGTGCTGCGGTCAAAAACAAAAGCATTTTCTTACTTCAAATTAACAAATTTAGTTTTTATGTGTTGATGCTGAACCGATGACCTTCATCTCATAAAAAAGTCATTAATTCAGTCTCCAGCTTTCCAAGTTCTAAAACATTTTTTTTTTGCAAATACCTTTCTTTTATCATTGCAAATAATAAAACCACTATAACGTTTAGGGAGTCCTGCACTCATATGCAGCTGATTGCTCCAAGCAATCACAAAAATTATGCAATCATCAAAAAATTGAGTATAATTAAAGATAACTTGTCACTTAGCAACCAAGCTCCTTCAGCGTGATGCACACGTTCGCTCCTTCTGCTCCTGTATGAGTCTGACGTGTTTAAAAGTCAGTATAAGTAAAGTAAATATGGCAGAACAAAGGCAAAACACACACACACAAACCCTGTGATGCAGATATATTTTCAATGTTGTCATTTTTCTAAGTGAATATAGATTAAATACTAGTATGATGTGAATAATTGTGGTTTAAGCACAATAAAGTGTCTCAACTCTGCCAACCGCTGACCTAAATTGTTGCAGATATTCTTGTTAAAATGTGAAGTCGGGATGTTTTCAAGTAAATGACTAAATGCTGAAAATATTTTAAACTTTCAAAAAATGTCTTGCAGACCTTCACACATCTGACCTTCTTTTAATCTGATAAATTTGGGAATTATCAAGAATGCTTGCTATTTTTGCTCTAACATCTTGTTTTAAAATCAATCTGCAGGGAAAGAAATGATTACATTCGGAAAAACAGCCGAGTGATTTTAAGATCTGGTGTTTTTATTGTTGTTTTTTCAGAGGCAGCACACAAGATAGAAGACTCCCCTTTCTGAGAAAGAGATTACAGAAATATGTAGCAAAAACCGATCAGCCAGATTATTATCTCCATGAAACAGGGTGGAAAACGTAACTAGTGTTTTTGTATTTTTCCACACAAAGATGGCTTACAGAGCTTCAAATCCTAAAATGTGTGCTTAAAGGGACTTTACGGAGTTTTGAATTTTTATGCTCGCGATTGCCCCCTCAGGCCAAAAGCGTAACGGCAGCTTCAATAGTAGGCTTGTGCAAGAGGCGCGCATGCTGTACGTGCACACTCCTTAACGAAAATACAGCTGAGACAGTCCTGTGTGTGTGGCCCTTAGGACAGAGGACAGGAGAACGCGCAGCTAATTAATTACATAATTTGGTTCTGTACCTTTCTCTTCAGCACAGCCGACAAAGGTTTAAGATGGGTCAGTCCGTCAGCTTCACAGAGCTTCCCTTCCCTTGCTTGAAAAATTGTTCCAAAATGAGAGTTGAACCCACATTTCTTTTATCTGTGAATTCAATGCAGTTCGGCGAGTCTCAAATCAAAATTTGGGCATCTTACTGTAAAAAAAATATACCATTAATGTAAAAAATAAACTCTACATAAATAACATTCACATCAAGAATCAAACCCAGATCTTCAGCACAAAAGTCCGACGTCTAACTAGGTGAGCTACAGCGCCAGTAATATCTTTTGTATCTGTAACTTTTATATGCTAGATGACAGCTGAAACAACGTTCAAAGAACGGTTCGGAGCAAAAATGGCTATTTTGTTGCTAATTTGCAGGAAATATCTAGAAGAAAGTAGCTAAGGGTCCTCAGAAATGTAGCTAGGTTCGTCACTAGGCATTAGGAACAAAGTCGCTGAGTTGGCCCTACCTCACTCTCTGCTGCTAAAGCTACAGATAGCAAATGCTACGGGCTATGCCTGAGCGTGAATGCTCGACCCGAGCAGCTCTCTTTTTCTGTGATTTTACAGAAAAACAGGCAATCACAGTAAAAATGCCAGGGCTCATTCTACAGGACCAGGGCATTGCAGGAGAATGTATGAAGAAGACATTTATTATTTCTATACATGTTTTGGCTGTCAAACTTCCATAATGACCCTTTAAATCTGATTCTTGCATGTAATTGTAAAGAAAAAGGCTATTTTTCTCACTCTTTTTAGCCCTTATGTTTATAGTTGCAACAACAGTAGAGCTGTGGACATCTGCAGCCAAACTACTCACTACAAAGAAAAAGCTCCATCAGCAGCTCGATGGTCATTGGGCCTGTAAGTCATCTAATCCACTCTATGGTGTGTGTGTGTGTGTGTGTGTGTGTGTGGGGGGGGGGGGGGGGGGGGGGGGGGGGGGGGGGGGGGATCTGTTCTCTGGAGGCCAGCACAGATGAAAAATACAACAGTTTGGTGTTTTTCCCATGGGGAGTGGTTCGGTCCTAATTGGGCCACGGGGCATTGACGACAGCTGTGACTTCGGCGGCGCGAATGGGATCGAAACCAAGCTGCAGTTTAAAACTGATCCAACACAAGAAAAAATAAATCAACATAAGGATATGAATGATGCTGATGAGAGAAAGGGACAGTGAAAGGTTTAAGATGAATGGTTATCAGAGCAACGCAGCAGTGGTTTTACGTTGTTATCGATGTTTTATTATAATTGGCTTGGAGTCGCTCTCACCTGAAGGGCAGGTAGAAAAATCTAATGGAGACAGAGAGGAGAAAACTAAACAGAGTGGCAGGATGTCCCATCGGACAGGTAGACAAAACACCAGAGATGTTTAGGACTGTTTATCGGAAAGGAACAATCCTTCTGAGAGACGGGAGATGGGGAATAAACCAATAACAATGCATGAGGATAAACGCTGGAGGCTCAAACTTATCCTCTCCAGTGTTAAATGGGACAACTCATGCAGCAATCTTCTAAACATGGAAAAACTTATCATTTTTGAGCCACGTACAAAATCCCCGAAGCACAAATAAACACAAGAGGAAGACTGTTTGGGCTGGTGCAGCTTTCTGATGTCTGCAGGCCTCATCTGATTATGGTAATATCATTCAGGAGTGAGAAAGTGTCCTAGTATTCTCCTGGCAGAGCAGATTTATAACTCAGCCTTCATGTGTACACGCACTTGCACATATACATGCACACACACCAGTGAGAATGCTGACTCTGAGTGTATCGTTTATGTAAAAACATCAAATGCTCCAGCTGATAAAAAGCATGAAATGTTCTGAACTGCTGAGACAAAGAGTAAAGACCAGCGTTCCATCAGATGGGTGGGTATTTGGTTTACTCACCTTTTGTTGGCTGCTGTGCTGCCGTCCTTCCTGGATCCAGATCCAGATCCAGATGGAGAGGGCAGAGTGCTTTTCTTTGGTAGGACGGTCCCGTTGTTCACTGTGGGCCTTAATGGCAGCGTGGCAATCATTGGCCTAGCTGGAAGGGAAAAACACAACAGGACGTCTATAAATAATCAGACAGGAAGGTATGTGAGGTAATTATAAATGTATTGGTCATAACTAATGAGGATTTAAAGTTCTGAGGAGTCCTGGAGGGAGAAAATAATCTTGAAACGATTTATCTCTGAATGTAACCATGCACTTCTTTTTTTTTACTTCTTGTGCAAATTTTTTTAAATCCACATTTATCCAAACAAAACTTAGATTCTTAAAAAAAACTTAATTTTAGTACAAACTACAATGTGATGTTCTTTAGTGGAGGGTAAAGTAAAAAATACATTTTCAAATCTTGAATGTGTCCAGTGAAAAAAACGTTTCTCACCAAAACTAAATGTGACTCATAAGTGTTTGTTGAACGTTTGTGACCTGTTGTTCTTTTCTGCAATCACACTCATTCATGAGCGACATTTTTAAACTTGTAGTCTCATCTTCTTGTAATTCCCTTATGTTAGATGCCAAGTGTTTGCACAAAAAACGTTGAGAAAGTGCATGCACACAACACATGCAAGCTAGATGAGCACAGAGTAACAAACGCAGGGTTTGACTCTAGCTGTAGTAATAAATATTAAATGACCCCCCCCCCTCCCCCCACTCTCTCTCTCTCTCTCTCTCTCTCTGTCTCTCAAGCCTATGCACTTATCCCTCATGTGTTCATGACACAGCAGGAACAAGCTGTAATGTTGTTAGCATAAAGAAGATGAATGTGTGCGTCCCTGGTTGTGTGTGTGTGCAGATCAATGTGAATGTGGGAGTTTCAATCATACACGTCAACTCCTAACACTGATGAATCTCAGCAGCTCAGATCGGGTTCTGCTCCATCCTCGAAAGCACTTAAAGGTGCATAAAACTCATGAAGAGGGGCTGATTTCACAAAATTCAGAAAGATCAGAGGATTATTGTTAAAGAAACAATTAACTAATTACAAAACTATCAAAAAATAACATTCAAAATCAGCAAGAAGGTGAAAAAATAAGATTTAACTAGGGATGCACCGATACCGGTGGTGCCGATACCAGTTACAGTATCGGTATCGGTAAAAGTTAACCGATACCGATGCATTTGCTTGAAAATGGCTTCACTGTAACTTGTCATTTATGTTGATCTAATATTTTAGTTTTGTAATGATTTCAATTCAAATATTTAACTTTTTATCTATCTCACAGTCTTTTCCTTTTTGAAAGTGGACAAGAAAATTAAACCTGTATTCCTATTGGTTGCATTTTTTGTGTGGTAGAAGTATCGGTAATCGGTATTGGCGAGTACTCAGATCCAAGTATCGGTATCGTATCGGTTTGGAAAAAGTGGTATCGTTGCATTCCTAGATTTAACTGAAGTCAACACCTGGAAAATTTTTTAAAGTGTTTTTAAGTCAAGAAAATGTCCCAATGATTTACAAAGAGGGGACGGGACTTATAACCTACTTTGCAGCCATCCACTAGGGGGTGCTTCTACTTCCTTGTTACATTCAGATGTCTCGTTTATGGGTAAATGAAACATCTGGAACATTTCCTTCCTGCTGCATGTTCAAATTTTCATTTTTCAAATAAATTGAGCTAAAATTATTTATTTGAAGTTTCAAACCAGCAGACCAAAAATAAACCAGGTTAAAAGTTTAATTGTTCTTAAGCCGTTACTATATCTATCGAAACACCTGTTATTATTGTGTCCGCCATGCAGGAGTGAATAAAAATGTGCATGTGAACACATCATTCCTGTAAACACAGCCAGCCTACCTGACTTCCCAACATTGCTGTCTGCTGAGGGAAATTTTCTCACCATAGCGGGGTCTACACATAACATACAACGTGTTTAACAGCGGTCCAGGTGAAGGCGGGACAGGAAGGAGAAGAGATCGATGACAAGTCAGAGGGGAGGAGTCGAGCTGAATTAGAAGGAGGCATCATGAACACCCATACCTTTGGTAGGTCCTCTACGGGGCCCCATGGCCTGCTGCTCCTCAGACAGGTTCAGTCTGCGAACCACGTCGGCCAGAGCGGACTTCAGCAGCTGAATCTCGTCCTCCTGCATCTGGACTCTCTGCTCCAGCGAGGAGATGCGGTCAGTCACCTCCATGCTGCTGGCTGCTGACGCGCTGTCATCTGAGGAAGGAACGCGTAAAACTAAAAGTGAAACAGCTGATTGTTGAGCACGTCCTCATAATGTATTGATGATCTCTTTTTGTTTAACAGATTATTTTTGTGTCTCCACCTGACACGCAGACACAGGCCAAACACCCACCACTAGGGTCCACTTCATGAATGAAAACACACACGTGTGTGTGGGGTCTCCCCCACCTGGACTTTGATGTGGTTTGATGAAATATTCATGTAAATCTCTGTTGTGTTTTCCCAGCAGACTCATAATAACCATCCGATGCATTATGCATTAGAGTGAAGGCTCCAGATGATTAGGGCTGATCTGCAGTCAGCGTTTAGACCCCCACTGCTTCACAACATCATGAAAACCTGAAGGAGCTCTTGACCTCGCTAAATTACATTCTCAAACAACGCGAACATATCAGAGCTTGATTTCAGACATGCAGCTGAACCTGGTGAGACGCCCTGCAAACAGAAACTCCCTGAAGGATTCATAGCGTCCCTGAGAGAGGTTCTCCTCAAATAATTACCCTACATCTCCAGGAGTTCTGATTTAGTTCAATTGTCTCAAACATAAATAAGTGTTGCAAGCTGCAACAAAATGATGCAGACGCCTCTAAATTAGTCAGAATAATGTTTTTCTTTGTTTGTCTGTTATTCAGGCCAACCAAGAGATCCCAGCTCCTCCAGAGGACAAAGAAATATCTCATGGTGTTTATCTAACTCAGAGCTAAATCTACTTTTATTAAATCAGTAACAGCAGAGTTCATTTTAAAGTGAACATAAATGATAGCAGGTTGAAATGCGAACCTTTTATTTTGGATAATTCAGTTTAAGACAAGAAAATGTTTGCTTTCTATAATAAAGCTTCTAATGAAAGAAATCAGCCTAAAACTTCACAACAGCATAAACCTACTGACTCCCTTCTTCACAGATTTCTGTTTTCTCAAACAGTCTCACCTTCCTTCTGCTCCAATCTCTTCCGTTAATAAATATGTACAAAAATGGCTCTCTGCTCACCTAAAACAATCCCTTTGAAGCGATCATTGCTCATGTTTAGACGTATGAACCTCCAGAGATAGAAATTCGGTTATCCGCCCAGTATCTGGTCCACAACACTGACACTGACCGCTGGCTGAGGAACAATCACTGGCTGTCACGGCCCTGACTAACATCCTCCGTCTGTCACACAGCTTCCTGCAACATCTGAGGCGAGTTAACCCCTCGGTCACGGCTACGAACTCAGAAAAAGGTCAGATGTTTGTGTTCGTCCACAGAAACGTGTGTGTGTGTGTGTGCATTCTTCAGGGCTTGGGTCACTCAGAAATGTAATATTAGCCTCATTTTCATTTAAACACCATTAAAAATGTAAGCCCCACCCCCGTGTGGCGTTCACACCTGCCAGCCATCAGGTTAAATCACATCCTCCCTGTCAGTTTCTCTCCAATGTTCCCTCTCAGGTCTTGTTTCATTAACTGGGCGACGTGTGGCCGGGTCACAGATTTGAGACAGATCGTTCTACTCGCCTTGATGGACTCAGACACGCTGCTCCCCATTAACTTCCCGTGGAAGACAATGTCATTCTAACTAGATGGAGAGCAAATAGGAAACAGGCATCATCAGTTCCTCAGAACATCTTCACCCTGTTCCTGAGTCCTTTTCTGACCTCACTGCAGACAGTAATGAAGGATGAGAGCACACGTGCTTCTGCATTCTCATAACAATCAACGGAACAAAAACAGTCTGGGAAATGACTCGGATCAACTCAGAGGGAACATTCTGAGTTTTCCTGCTGACTCACCCCCTCACTTATTATTATTATTTTGAATTATAAAATGATTACTTTAATTATGAAATCTTCTTTTCTTTTGGAGAATAAAAACGTTATCTAAAGAGTTCTCCTGTGAGGAACCTTGGGGAAAGGAATGCTAATGTTCATCTTTATTATCTGAGGAAGCTGCACTCAGCTGATGAAATCATCTGATTAAAATACCGAGTTGTGCAGACTCACAGACTCCTGACAAGGAAAGATACAGCAGGACATGTAGTAGCCAGGGTTATTTGCTCTGGCTGCATATGACCTGTGGGATCTTTTAACCTCCTGGGACCCAAATTTGTATTTGGCCTGATTTAAAAGAAAAAACGTATCTAGCTATTACAGATTAGTTGACTGTAATTAACAGAAAGAAAGTTATAAAAATGTAATTTTAATAAAAATTAATTAAATAAACATGTCAAATATCTTTAAAAAGAGAATTTTTTTGTTAATTTAAGTCATATAACGTGTCTATAAATTATATCAAAAAGGTCTAAGTAGAAAAGAATAAAAATGTAAAGTGCATGGAGTCAATGGCCACATATGTGGACACAGGGTCCTAGGAGGTTAAAATCAGTCCATTTCGTGACGTTACAATGTGAAACTTGCAAGGATGTAAAAATACACTCAAAACATTGAATGTGTCCTTCAAATATCATAACGCCAGCTGGAACACAAACAGAGCAATTAACGACTGTTTTATCCTCACCCAGCAGAGCAGAAAAGTTCAAATGACCTGATGGAAAGTTTAGTCATCAGGATGCGCTGCGCGGCACAACGGGAGGTTTCTGAAATCCACGGATCTGACTGGCTGCAGGAAACAGCCTGTCACAACACTCGGATGACTGTTTTTTCTCTTTTAACACAAAGGCTCTAGTGATGTGACCACTGCTGTTTCCTCCATGTCCTTGTTAGAGAAACATCAGCTGGTTTCATTTTCAGAACATGAATACACATGACCAGGTGGTGCTCCGTCACGGTGCCAATGCAGCTGATGCAGATCGTTCCTCGAGGGCTCCTAAAAACCATCCAGTCACACTTGTTTGAAATAAAAAAGTGAATTTGACCTGCTGCTGTTTTCACTCATGAATATCTGTAGCTAATCCTAACTGACTGGCATAACAGACCTAAATTAACAGGGAACTCAGAAAACGTTGAACAAAGTTGAGACTGAGTGGATGAAAGTGAACTATGCTGTTGCAGTGAATAAAACTGCAGAACAGCGTAAGGAAATATGATTTTATATGAATATTTGACATGAAACTGTTTGTTAGATTAACAGCAAAAATGTCTGCAACAGTAAAATTTAAAAATGTGTACTAAAAGCTATTTTGTTGTGTTTTCTCTGTGTAGAATTTGCAAATACACTATAAAAAGTACAAATCTGCACACTAAAATGTATTAACACAAACAAGAAAAATAAACTAATAGATGTTATTATTTTCATTGCAACCTTTGCAATAAGAACGGTGTGCAGAAACAACAACGTGCATAAAAAATACATTTGTGCTAATTTGTGTGATGAGTGTTCAAGTTTTTGCTTGAAACAAAAAATTAGCTAAACTACTTAGTTCTTGATAATGTATTGGTCATTTATTGAGACCATGTGAGTTAAAGGTGCATTATGTGAGAATTAAGTAAGAGTGACATCCTATGGTCAAATATGAGTACTGCAGCCCATTTTCAACACATATGAATGACTTTCTCACTACTGTTCCATGAGTTTCATGGCTGTTGCCTGCACAATTGAAAAAGTAGCTAGACTATTTTTTCTAATTCACCATTAGCATTAATATCTCAGCGTTAGTCTTTAGCCTTCGTTAAAATTAAACAAAAATATGCGTGGCCTCTTTGGGGGTACAAGAAATAACTTCTGGGTCGCTCCTGTCACTATTGCTGTGTTTTGGCAGCCAGTGCTGAATTACAAATGCAGTTGCATTAGCTGGAGAAGACCCGGCAACCTTGCGGGGCCAGAGTTCGTAAACTACGCCCCTCTTTAGCTTTATTGAAAGAAGAAAAACTGGCCTCCACCCAGCTGGCTGAGAATGAAATCTGTTTAAACGTCACCTTCCTTCTTCCAACATGATTGAGACATTAGAGTGTTTTGTGATTATTTCACTGTAAAATTCCTACATATTGTACCTTTAAAGACCAAAGAGCACTACCCGACTGGTGCTTCAGCCATTCAGACGGTCAGATTAAGAAAGAAGTGCCTGGATTAGATGCTACCTCGGACAGGTTTTAGTCAACAAAGGTTATAAATAACAAGAGGTAGGTCAGAGGGAAGGAAATCCTCAAACGCGTCATGAGGGATGATTAAAGAGGAGAAAACAGGCAGCAAGATGGAAAGAGCCTTTCTTGTCAAAGCACTGAAATGAAACTACAGAGCTGTTTGTGTGTACCAGAGGTCAGAAAGAGGTCAAGGAGGAGACAACAAGAGGTCAAACAACCCCCATGGCTGCTCCTCCTGCCCTCATGTGGACATATTAAACTTCTCCCATAAGCCTCCTCAGTTACAGGTTACATGGGAGCTCTCCTTCACACTGAAGTCATTGTTCAAGAAAAAAAGTGCTGCAGTCAAAACAGAAGGTTAAAAATAGATTCAGCTAAGTGCTGCTTGTGTTAGTCAGCTAAATCATCAGATAACAAACTTTGCACAAAAGATGAAAGAAGAGGAAGTCATAACAGAGGCAAGCTCATGGCTTTATTTTCACAAATAACCACTTTTTAATGTAAAATTTGATTATAAAAAGCAGCTTTAATAAGGAAAGAAAGAAATATAAAAAAGGCACCAAAAGAAAAGGCAGAAAAGCTCATTCTGAACTCAGGAACAAAGACTATGGACCATTATCCCAACGCACTCTGCTGTCAAAGAGGAAGTGTTGAAGGCACGGCGGAGGGATTATGTAGAAAATGTGGAGCAGATCTTGTTGAACGTTGGTGATGCTTAAACTCAAGGGTGTTTGGGTTTAGCAGCAGGCTCTGTCTCAGCTCTCTTTTTGGCCGTCCGCCTGAAATAAATTAAAGGTGGTTGACAAAAGAGAGGCCGAAACGTTACAATTAAAGAGCATGGAAGAAACCTCCACTGTCATTGAGGTGGAAGCTGGGATCAACAACAGACACCTCATATCGTGGTCTTTTCAGGGGTGTGGACGCAGCTCTGGGACTTTGTGGAAGATGAATTTCCGTCACGGTACCTGTGTCACAAGACACACTGCGGCTGGGAGCTCTAAACTGTGTGGCTATGTAAAATACAAAGAAGCAGCACATTTATAAATGTTTAAAATAGCATAAAATCACGTGTAACAATAATCTGTAAAACAAATAAAAACTAGAAGGTAATAATAAAATGTTTACATAGAAGATTATTAAAAATAATTCACCTTTGCTACGTCGATAAGGCTTTACATGAGCCTGGACAAGTGCATTTTTGCAGATTACTAAATCAGTCTGACAGCCAACGTCTTGGGTAGATTTAGCCTGAAACAAAAAATATAAGCACATTGTTGTTGGAGTTTATTAAGTCATATAATATACAAAAGAAACTGTCCAATATATATATATATATATATATATATATATATATATATATATATATATATATATATATATATATATATATATATAGGCGCTTTATAACATTCCTAGTGTGTGATCGTTATTATAATGTCAAAGTCAGTCACATATGATGTGAAGAACCTGAAATGCGACCTCCTGAACAGAATTCCTCACAGAACCGGGTTAGGCTTTGGTGTAAAGCTGGATTTCACGCTGTAATGATGTCTGTCAACTAGTGCTGCGTTAGAGCCACTGTTGCTGAATTACCGACTGACACAAAAACAACCCGAATTTTCTCCGAGCCTGACAGAAATAGTCAAGTGGACCTTTTTTGTCGGCCAGGGCTTTGAGAAATGTTCCGATTCGCCGCTGATTCTAACCTTACATCCCGTTCCACATTTTGTGAACTTGACAAATTAGCCCGAAGGCAGTGCAGGCTGATATTAGCTAAATGGAGTGAACCACGTCTCTCAAACTTTGCATTTAGGTAGGAAATTGTCTTTAGAAGATGCTAACTTTTATTTAGCTTACTCACCTCAGACTGGAGCCCGCCATGGTGGGGGAGCAGAGTCGGTGGGCTGCATCTAATTCGTGGAAGAGCCACGGTGGGCACGGCCTCCCTCTTCAAACGGAGACGTGCAGAATAACCCAGTTCAAACTCCATCATGTTGGCGAAGGAATCGCGGGTAAAATGCTGGTTGCAGACTACAGCACCAGGCGGGAGCTGACTGTTTTCCAGTACACCGATTGCGCGCAACCACTGGCGCCTAATTTCTAAGTCCAGTGGAAAGGAGTGCAACCCCACAGAGCCACCACAACCAACTACACTACACCTTTTAACCATACTAACACGATATGGAACACTAAACCTGAATTACTTTCCTAATAAAACTAACAGCTAAACACTAACTAAACTACAATATCTAACAGCCAAGCTAACACTAAATAAGTATGTATAACACTAAAAGCTATGCTAAAGACTAGAATATGCTAATGATATATGCTAACGATATGGAACACTAAACCTGAATTACTTTCCTAATAAAACTAACAGCTAAACACTAACTAAACTACAATATCTAACAGCCAAGCTAACACTAAATAAGTATGTATAACACTAAAAGCTATGCTAAAGACTAGAATATGCTAATGATATATGCTAATGCTGAACTACCGCTAACCGTCCTACACTCGCTTGCAAATCCAACTCCCAACTCGCCACAGGGCGTGGCCGAGACTCTCGTTGCTTTATAACTTTGGCACAAGAGCTGCTACGTAGTACTCTACTGGTTTACGTAGTATCTTACTCTTTAGCCATTGGCTAAAATTTATTCAAAATGTGTCAAATTCTGTGTTTTAAGCTGAAGGTGGCGCATTACTGTGGTTTTTAGGCTGAAAAATTAATTTTTAAAGAAAATGCACCAAAATGCTAAAATAATGAATACACACATTTAAAACACTAGTAGACACTCATTTATACAGTTCATCAGCAAAAAAAAGTTAATTTAGACGTTACTTGCTCTTTAAATAAAGCGGGGAAACTGTGGATCCGTGCTAAATCCTTAAACAGATGAGATTATTCTGTAGGTCGTTGAAAATAATTAAAATTTACTAATTAAATGAATTGTGTACTTATAATTAGAAAATATAAAGTTCAGAAGGAAATAAAGTTAACAATCAGATTAATAACAGCTAGTTAAAATGAATACTGTTGCTTCTAACATGGGGTCTTTTTTAGTGATGGCTAAAAACGCTTTATTTGTCATGTTGAGGTTTATGGGCATTGTAAAAGAGGCTTTTTATGATTTAAAACATTAAATCTTCATAAAAAGATGTTGTACCTCATAAACTATCTTTTACTGAAGCTAAACCCCTGTAAGGAACAGAAAAAAACCCCATCAGAGTGGATAATCAGGAGGATAGAGCATTGTAAAGTTTGTAGAAAATGTAAACAAAGATAAAAGCACCACTTAAGTCATTATTAATAAGCAGAATCAGTGATGCATCGATGTAGTTTGTGTTTTTAAATGCCATTTTCCATAAGGTGACCTCTCTTATTTTACTTTGGCTCACCTCTCTAGGAAGGAGGAGCAGCGGCTCTACTCTGAGCCACTCCCAAATATTGGAGCTTCTCAGCTTATAGCAGCCAGAGTGGGAGATGGGTGGGTGTGGCCATCTCCAGCTTGTTTTCTTAAAGCGACAGAGCCCTGAAACGACTCATTCCAGAAGGTGAAAATGTGTAGAATAAAACTGCTTACAACGTTTCACGTGAGAGGGATTTAGTGCAAAGAACTTTATGAGCATGTTTTGAATCGGCCATAGGACGATTATATTGTATTTTAAAAAGTACTAATGCCCTCCTTTTTATCCACAAAACAGTAAACAGCTGGAGACGGACATCTTTGTTACTTTAGAGACCAAACAGACCACAGAAACACCAAGCCGTGCTTGGCAGCAGCTCAGTCTCAACCTTTATCTACATAAAGCAGGGCTTTGTCCCCCAAGATGGAGGTACTTGTTCCATCCAGCCTATGTACACGCTTTGTTTGTGCACCAGTGTTCCATCCAGCAGCGGGGTTGTTATAGGAAACCAGATTTCCACAGCGACAGACACGCATGCAGAATGCCGGCCAGTTGTGTCTCTGCCATCTGGAGGGAGAGAACAGACCATAGTCCAGCTGGAAGCAGACAAGATCATTACACAACACAACTCAGGAGGAGAACATGTTTCTGCTGTTGTGTTTAAAACATTTTAACTTTATTCTCTTCGGTTTTCTGGGTTTTAGTAGAAGTAAGCATCCGGTTCCTACATGTAGTCACTGTCGCATTGATCCTTGTTTACACAGAATAATTACAGACTCTGACAAGACCCCGTGATTAAACTGTCTCCTCATAGATGTTTACTTTGTGCAAATGCCACTTTATACAAAAAAGAGTTTAAGGACTTTACACAAAACGTCCGATTCTCTCAACACAACAAAGGAACAGATTAAATCCGAGGTTTTTACAGTTTTCTATCAAAGTTTAAAACTAAACAGCATTCATTAATTCTATCAAGTCAAAGAAAACTGACTTTGCAAAAAACTTCTGCTGACAGTAGCGACACCTCCAAAGTCTCCAAAATCTCCAAAATCTCTAAAGCTTAATAAACAAGAATATGTAAAACTTTATTTTCCTACAGAGCTGATGCAGAACACTTTCCAAATGTATTAAAGACAAAAATAGTAGGAGCTTTATGCAAATCATCTGCTAACAAAAATAAGGAAAATAAATGAATAAATAAATAACAAGTTTATTATAATAGAGGAAAAAAATCCACAGTTTTGGTTTTGAAAATGTTACAGATGTAATGCAAAGGAAGGAGACTGTTTCATAAAGCGCTAAAATGTCGTAAAAGCAGGCGTAGCTTGTTTTAGCTCTGTAAGACATCTCATCTTTACGTAGATCGGCTGAGAGAACGTAACCCTCATATTCAGTCTGATGTAAGAAATCTATTTGGGCCATTCCAGTGAAACAGGAAGTGTCATATTTCTTCTTTCTTTTGCATAATTAAGATGTAAAACACACCAGAATGCAAAAGTGGCCACAGGAATGCAAAAAGGAAACAAATTAAATACACCTCAGGGTTTGAGATGGAGGAAACACACATTTGCAAGTAAAAAAATAAAAGAGCTGCTGTGAGACAGTTGCAGATTCATCGGCCAACATTTTTGATTCTCCATTATGACCTTTACCATCTCAGGTAGATCTAAGAAAGCGTAGATGTTGTTACAATGATAAATAATCACCCCCAGTAGCTAAACCCTGCAAGATGATTGCGTGCATCATCTTCTGCTTCATTTCTGCACCTGTCCTCCCTGATTAATCTATTTTTAATGGAATTCCTAACTAGATTGGTCCCCCCCCCATCCACCCACCCATCTGTTACAGAGCGGATGAAAACACGCAGGCGGAGATCCGGGGCTTTCCTTGTGCTTCTCCTCTATTAACAGCAGATGGAAGAACGCCAATTAGGAAGCAGTGCTCCTTCTGAGAGTTGCACATTGAGCAGGAAGAGGTTAATCATGCTTGTCAACAACACAACAAGCCACCGATTTGAACAGATGACTCTAGGAAAGTAGTTTGCAAACAAATAAAACGATCACAGTTCTTTTATTCTTCTAAATCAAACATTTGAGCTGCATACGTCTGAATGAAATGTGCACAGATGATGTGTTCTGGACAACAGTTGCGTGTAAATTTATACGTTTGCATGGTTCGATAATGTGCTCATCTTGTGTCTCTGACTTGACGGAACATCAAATAGAAACTAAAAATAATGGCATCTCCCGTGGTTGTGCTGACTTGCGTGATTTATTACCGGTCGCCTTCCCCCACAGGTAACTCTCCATGCTTAGTTGAACACATTTGATGTTTCAGTGCAGAGTGGAAGCATCCTACTCTCTGCTTCTGGCTCTTTTCTGTGCTATTTTTAAGCATCTTTGACACAAGGTCTCGTGCTGCCTACCTGTCTC